ATGTAGTGTACTGTCATGCTCTCTCGGCAATTCTTTTTGTGTCTCAAATACGGTTCACAAATGCGCATTCACATGCAACTCCTGTAGTGTAAAGCCATTACCACACTGTCCTTGCGGACACCAGAGAGGAGAGGCATACAGAACCAGCACCGTGAGCCTCTCCCCCCCCCCCTTTCCACACCTAGCTTTGCACACGCGCGCACACATGCACGTGCATACACACATACATGTACACAGACATTTGCATGCACATGCACACAGTGCACTCGTGGGGACATGTGCATAACCCAGATCAACATTGCGTGCGAACCCACACATGCGGGCACCAGCACGTGCCCACACACACACGTGCGTACACACACACGCATACACCTGCCCAACGCTGAAGCGAGGATATCGAACAAACTACGTTAGACATAGCAACTTGTGCTCGGATTACACCTTTCAACAGCTTGCACACACACACACACACACACGCGCGCGCGCACGCGCGTACACACACACTCGCGCGCGCACGTACACACACACGCGCGCGCGCGCGTACACACACACACACACAAACGCATGTATACACGTACTTGCGCATAGGAAAGGATTCAAAATAATCAACCACAAGCATTTACCCAATACACACCTGAGTGTGCACATCTTAGTTGTGGCATCCCCATTTTTACAAAAGCAGGATTTAGAAGTTCGTCCCTGGTTCAGAACACAAGCTTCTGGCCAGCGTTTTCCTTACACCATCAGTGCAGTACAGTGGTTGACACGAACCTCATTCCTACAGGGACAGTAGCCCAAGTTCAGCAGCCCTGAGATGCGTCGTCCACTGAGCTCAGGATACTCTAGGATCCACAGAAAGTTTCAAACGGTACTCGTGCGACTGGAGCTGCAAGTGGGTCCACTTACCAGCGAGTGGGCAGCCACTTCACGCTCCACAGGTAGTCCATGCTAAATTCCAGTACCAGTACTAGTATCACTACGTTCGACATCGATGTCTTCACTGACTTCAGCCTGCTTTTCTCACCCTTCTTCGTCAGTAATATAATTATATTTTGTTCTTCGTGGCCACATCGTACCGCTTCAACAAAGTTTTCACAAAAAAATCAAGCAGCGTAGGAACTGCCTTTGTTTTGCATTAGCCATGGCCAGTGATTCTTTCCAGCGTAGAAACAGCCACGGCTACAGAAACACTGCAACGAGTAGAACTGCATCCTGGAACAACTGCGAGCACAGAGAAATCAAAAAACTTCTTTCTGAACAACAGCTTGTTTCCGCATGGAACACAACATTTTTCGAATCTCGCGGCAAAAAACAGATTTCGGAGGTGCCCTTTTTGCACTGCGCTGCGCAACTGTTCGGAGCCTCCTTAACTTCCCCTTTAAAAACTAAGCCTGCCTTCCGAACATTAACGATCTGTTCGACACCGTCCAAGGGGCTCGCCACTTCACGAAATTAGACCTCCGTTCGAGATACAACCAAATCAGCATTAGTGAAAAAGATGTGCCCAAAACGGCAATCAACACCCCCATTGGACACTTCCAGTTTCGGGTAATGGGATTTGGTCTAACCAATGCGCCTGCCACATTCCAGGCCTTGATGAATTCAATACTGCAGCCCTATTTACGTGATTTCGTGGTCGTATTCCTTGATGATATCTTTACCTTCAGTAAAACATGGAGCGAGCATTTGAGGCATGTCAGCACTGTTTTGGAAACCTTGAGAGCCAACAAGTTATTCTGCAAACCCTGAAAGTGTGAATTTGGGTTGCGGGATGTCATCTTCCTAGGCCACAAGCTGAGTGGTTTATCTATCTCTCCCGACCTAAACAAAATTGCTGCGGTTAAGGAGTGGCCTGCGCCGTCCTCTATAAAGGAAGTGAGACAGTTCTTGGGTTTCGCGAACTATTTCAGACGGTTCATTGATCACTATTCCATGATTTCGAGACCTTTGGAGGAAATCACAGGGAAACACTCGCGTTTTGAGTGGAACAGCGCACGTCAGTCTGCATTTGAGAAGCTGCGGAAGGCCTTACTGAGTGCACCCGTATTGCGACTTGCTGATGTTAAAAAGCCATTCAGAGTAGAAACCGACGCTAGCGATTTCGCCATTGCTGGAGTGCTCCTGCAATGCCGAGCCGAGCGCAACTACACAGCCGGAGAAAGAGAAACCCTCGCTCTAGTCCAAACCCTGAAGTGTTGGCGAGTGTACCTCTTTGGGAATTTCGATGTGTTCACGGATAACATGGCCGTTGTACACCTGAGAACCAAACCTACCCTCACGAAAAGGGAGGCCCGTTGGGTAGAGTTACTGGCGGATTTCGACTTTACGGTCCATCATAAACCTGGAAGGGACAATGCGGCTGCTGATGCCTTGTCTCGTCGTCCTGACCTTCAGCCGGGCGAGATCTCAGTAGTTCAAACAGAACTGACTGCTGCACAATGTAACGCTCTTGAGTTTGCTCTGGCAATTGATGATCAGTTCTCGAAGACGGTAGCAGAAGCATATGAACACGATGCAGAGTTATGGCCTATCATCCAGAAGATGCGTCGTTCTCCGAGTGACAACGTTCACCAGGCATACCTCTAGGATGGTGACGCCCATCATCTTTACTTGCGATCTTCCCCAGTAACAGGTTATACGTTCCCAAATGCGCACTTCGACTACAACTCTTGCAGGAGCACCATGACTGCATTACCGCAGGTCATCCCGGCAGGGACAGAACGTATTTCCAGCTCGCTCGTCACTTCTATTGGCCGCGCATGGGGTAGCATGTTAAGAAATTTGTTAAATCGTGTGCTGTCTGTCAGCGCGCTAAGGGTGCTCAATTAAGGTCTGGGCTTCTCCAGTCACTTTCTGTGCCCGAGCAACCCTTGGACCATAATTATTACCATGGACTTCATCATGGGTTAACCCAAGTCACCCGAAGGTCATGATGCAATTTACACATTTGAATAGATATAGAGATTTGTAGATACAGATTTGTAGATAAAGAGATAAGAGTGGATGGAGAGCTCCAAGCATAGTCATAAGCTTGCACACTGTGTGTGTTTCGCTAGGCCGCATGCTGTTCCCTTCTGGAACGGACACGATAACTACTTATTCCCTTTACTTGCAGTTCTTCGCACTATGTTGTGCTTTCATCTTTTTCACACCTGTAGTAGCTTTGTTCTCTGCTCCTATGAGCTGCTTTGTTAATTCTCTGCCATCTACCTGAAGTATTTGAGCCAGGGACTATAGAAACCGCCCTACGACGTTTGATATCAAAATGAAGTTATGACGTTTCAAAGTCACGCGACTCAAAGTAAGTTACGCGAAGCGCAGAACTCGCCACTTTTGTTTTGACAAGACTCAAGAGCTGTCCTCTTGTTAGGTGTTCGGGGAAGGATTCCGAGCTCGAGCGATTGTCGAGTAACTCATGAGGCTCCACTTACTGTGACTGATTATGGCTACAACATCTAGTAGACGACGCAGCTCGATTCTGGGTGGAGTCGACTAGTCCCTGATGCGAAGGCGCTTGAATCGGACCACGAGAATTTTTACGGATTCAGCGCTGGCACCCGCGAGTCGTCCGCGAGCGATTCCGACACCGATGCTGACAGCGACGGCGATGATATGCCACCTAAGAAGAAGACGTATGGAGTCACAGCAAGCTCGAGTGCTGCTAGTGTTGTGTCGAAAACGCCAAGCCCCGACAGCTCTGAAATTTCAAACGCGGAGAGTGACACCGACTACTCGGAATCGGATGACGAACCAGATACCCCCGCACCTGAGCCACCGACGACGGAGCAGGTGAAGCGTGGTCTCCTCGGACATACGCGATGGGATTGAGAGAGGCTGTGGATGCAAGTCAAAGAATCATTGGAAAGTCATCCCAGAGCAGCAGCTCGAGGACTACATATTTGAAGTCTCTAAACTACGAGAATCGAAGAAGCGCTTCAAGCAGTTGGTTCTGGGCACACTGACTGGAATCATGCGAAAGTCGATGACTGGCGGTGGTAATCGACCTTTCTATTTCCGCTATCATGTACGTGGCTACGAGTTGTGCAAAGACGTGTTCATGGCAGTTCATGCTGTTGGAAGTCATGTAATGAAGCGCCTTCAAAAAAGGCAAACAAAGGAGTCGTTCAACTGGCACAACATGGCTTGACTGGGAGAACACCACAGCACTTGGCCATTTCAGCAGACATAGAGCAGGATGTAGTGCAGTTTATTTAGTCATATGCTAACATGTACGGTCTACCTCAACCTCCAGCGGAGTGAGGTCGTGCTGAGGACCCTCCAGTATACTTACCAGCATCCGAGAACAATAAGTCTGCATACAACATCTACACCAAGACCGTCACACAGTATTTGCCTGTTCATTACAGTTCATTTTGCCACATTTGGAGGAGACAGGCAGCACACATCAAAGTGATGAAGCCAAGGACAGACGTATGCGCACTGTGTGACAATATCCGGTACAAAATTCGTGTCGCCCGTACAGAGGAAGAGACGGAATGTAGTGTCCAGGCCCTGCGTTCGCATATATCGCTAGCACAAGAGGAGTGGCAGCACTACCGATATTTAGTGGACGGCGCGCAGGCGTCACTGGATGAAGCTGAGGGCATAGTTCACTATACATTTGAACTGCCTAACTAGCAAGAATCAAGATATACAAAGAACATTACAAACTGTGTACATAAATTTGCTCTATATCGCTCAATTGACATGCCATTATTAAATAGGTGGTTAGGCACATTTTACCATCGCAGATCAACTTGAAATTTTGTTTGAGCACATTACCACACCATACCAACATTTTGAGAAAAACAATTTCGCCAAAAAGTGCCACAGGGTGGTTTCGGTAGTCCCTGGCTCATTTACTGACGGAATATATAGAATACGTTTCTGTCAAAAAGAAACAGTGTCCATTGGTTGTCGATTTGTTTGGTCTATCAATAATCTTATCTCCAACTAGATTATCAAACTGCTTTTTGTTCTTCTTCTATCCATTCTGCTAGGTGCTGGATCAAAGCCGACATGGCATTCTACGGCAGCCTGGTAGCTCCTATGAGTATCTCTCTCCTGTACAACATTGGTGTGCTCATCACAGTTGTCCACACAATGCGCGCTCGGAACAAGAACATTCAGTCCACAAAAGCAGGCAGCGCAAAGTCAGTGTCTATCCTAACCATCACAGTTTCCCTGTCTGTTCTTCTTGGTCTCACATGGATTTTTGGTTTTCTTGTTTTGATCCACGATCATATTGCTTTCCAATACATATTTACAATCCTGAACTCACTAGAAGGCTTCGCTATATTTTTGCACATCGTCAGAGGAGAGGAAGCGTGGAAAGTTATTTCGGGTTTGTTTTCTTCCACCAAAAGATCTACGGAAAAACGTGCGGCAAGGAGAGTCCAACAACCACTGGCTGCCTCCAGCAATCTCGATCAGATGCATAAGGAATCCGCCAACCCTGGCACACAGATATCAACGCGGAGCGGCAGATCGGGAGAAACCAATGCGGTAGCCTCGCAGGATCCATCAGGAAAACGAAGAAGCACTGATTTTTCCTCCGTTCCAACGAGCAGCGTCCCCTCGATGGTAAATGATTCAAACTGGTTTCTACGTTCTCCATCAACCGACAAAGATCGCAAATTATTCCTTTCCGATGACGCTCAACGTGCTACCGAAGAATCGATCCAAATGATACATTTGGGAGAAAAACGAGACTGGCCGCAATGGTTTGTTATCCCCAACAACCCAGAAACAAGGGTAGAAGCTTGTGCAAACACAGAAGAGGAGGAGTGAGTCTCCGTCGTCACGGTCCAAAATCAACAAATCGACTAATCTGTATTCAACCTTCGCTCGCTTCACGCCAATCACCACTGTGTATTCCAATGTATTACAAGACGACCTTTTTTGTAGCCATCATACTGCTAGATAGTTAAAACTCTTTGCTACGAAAGCGCGCACAGCACATCCCATAATTATTACACACGCAAGGCATTTTTGCATTCATTGCTCAACCTTATGATTGATCTCAATGACTGATCCTCCTCCATATCCTTTTTGTTTCCTTGCCTCTAGATTCGTTTCCAACCGATTCACCAAATCATGGTTTTCTACGGTTTCACAAGTTACAATTCATCTCAATTCTTTTATCTTTTTACTAGTTTTAGTTTCGCGCATATGCTAATACTATATTTCGCCTTTATAATTCCCCACATTCATGTGCTTTCTTACTTTCACTACTCGTACTTAACCATTTGTTACCCCACTAAAAGTACGACAATTTACACACCTCCAAAATAAAATGCACTTTCACTTTTGTCTCTGCCAAACATTGACCAATTTTTGCAAACTTCCCACCGGTGGAAAGGTATTTTCAAGACGAAGCGACTGATACCACACTCAAGCCAGCCACGGGGTTAGGGTTAGGGTTAGGAATTATTAAGAATGCTTAGCCAGTACTAATGGTTCACAATATTGGTTGACGCCATGTCATCCGTGAATTGAGAATAATAATGGTAATGCCGGCTTCGCCACCCGGTGCCGTGAGTCAATATTTCACACGCTCAGATCTCCTCCCCGTCAATCAGTAGTTGGGGGCGTCAATGTTTAGCCCTTAGTCCCAGGGTGCGGGGTGTTCGGCAGTTATGCACCCCTGCATTCCCTCAGGCATTCTCCTAGCTGGTCTATGGGCACCCATCCCACTCTTATGGGAGGCACGGGTCAGATCACAGTGCACAGCAAATTGCTAATTTGTTTTTATTAGTTAAAATATATAAAAATATATATTTTCTTTTTTCTGGAGTCGTTTGGGGAACACTGCTCGTGGCAGGCTCCCAGTACCAGCCCTAGTGGCCAATACATCCAGACTCAAAAGCGGTTATAGTTTGGGGTTGATTTGTGGGCACTGCTGGGTGAAATTTATGTCTGACCCCCGCCTCTATCGGCTAGATGTACTGTATGTGCATACCTCAAGGAAGGATAGAATGCGGTGTTCCCTTTTTCTTTCTTTTTTGGTATTGTTATTTTGTAAAAATAATAATTATAGGTTTGTGTCCCGCCGCCATGTGCCAGCCCGCGCGGCGAGAGACAGAGCCACCCCTCCACCCCCCGAATTTGTGTATGGGTGGGGTCCCAGTTATGTTGGGTGGACTGTTTATGTTCTATCCCCCCCCCCCCTGTGTCATTTGGTATGGGCAGAAGCGTGTGTGTGTGTGTGGGTGTGTATGTGGGTGCGCAGTGGCGTGCACCGAGTCTTGAAAGGGGGGTTTCTAGAGTTGGTAATTTTTTCTGGAGACCCACTGTATAATTATGTATCTGTGCACATGCGCATCCCCGGAACATCCCGTCGGAGATAATGGCTAGGGAGGAGGGAGGGGGAGGGGACTCAAGATGAGGGGTGCAGGGCACCAATGAACACTGGTGCTGATGAGATGCGGGGCTTGTCCGAATGCTATCATCAGATCATGCCGGCACAAACGCGTCAGAGAGGGAACCAGGTACAGGGGTAGAAAGGACAGAAATAAGAGGAATAGGGCTTGAAAGTGGTACGTCACAGCATAGCAACAATTTCAAAAATTCAACAACTGGATCCACTTGGATCCAGTTTTTGTATGGATCCAAGCACATTTCAAGCGGTCTTACCCACAGCATGGTGATGTAGCCAGTGAAACTGACTGATTTGGCTACTGGGGGCGGGGTTACAACTGGTGGCGAAATAAAAGTCACACCTGCATGCGACATGAGTGGGTTGCTATGCACCCACATACTTAGGCAATAGCAAAGTCACACCTTAGTGGATCCAATAATAGAAATCTGATGTCAACTTTCTACTCCCTGGCCGTTTTGACGTCATCACTTTCAAGCCCTATGGAGGGAGGGGACGATGTTGCATGGAAATGTTGGTACATGTGTAACCGGTAACAGGATATAACGGGTTACCTCTTACATACCAGCACTTCAAAAAGCATTTGCAAAGAGGGTGCAAAAGTCAATGTACTTGTATACAATCACATATTTGTCATATTGAAGTTTTGAACACGTAAACGTTTGATAGGCCTAGCCGCCCAGGCTACACTACAGTCTATAAGACTTAGTATAACACTATGTCTATGGTACTTTACCAGTCCACTCCAGTCCAGGCATGTTTGTTTCATCATAACACTAATACATTCGACGGATCTTTCTTTCTGTTCTAATGACGAAGTTTTCAGCATGTATTGGCAATGTTCAACATGATTTCAATAAAGAGTTATGGGCCTTGCTTCGATGGAAGCTCGCGGAAGAAAAGCAGAGCCCCGCGTCCTTGAGTCGCCGCTGGAGCAGCGCTTCGTTCTGAAGCAGCGCATGTGGATCATGGACGCACAGTTTTACATCTTCCAGTCGACAACGTTTTTGACGAACATCTCTGCTGCGCACATGAGCGAGAACGAAAGGCTGTGGAGATCTTGATTTGAGTCAACACTTTGGAAGGAGATATCGTCAATCATATCCTTGAACTGACTTGCATCGCGCGTGCTTGACTTAAATTTCGAGACAGAACGGATTTCTTGAACGTCATCGCCAATCCAGGAGCGAACCAGAGCTAGAGATCGATCTCTCTGTCGCTACTCTCCACTGAAGAAAGAGAGAATAATGTATTTTGAACTACATGCAAAGCAACTCTCTCTCACTTCGAAATAAGGACATAGTCACTGTACTGTAAACTGCCCGTCGATCGACGCGTATGCAGGATAACCAATCCAGTAGGCGCGCTTTTCCTTCGGCAAGATTGCCCGAAAAAAGGTGGTTTCCAGACACCAACAAACTCATACGGTGCACGCGCCTGGTGCGTGTGTGTGGGGACGAGCTGTGGGATACAAACCTTGTTATATGGGACTGCACTCAAGAAAGAGTGTTTATGGAACTAGGAACAGAGGGGGCCAGGGGTTTTGATGGAGGTAGGCAGGAGGTTCCTGGGCATGGTATGACAACTCAGGAGCAAATACACAGCAAAGTGGACCAGACACAACAGTTCCCTATAGTTCATGCATCAAACGCTCCTGTGTGGAGTATGGTCAAGGTTCAGATTTATGTTGCTCAGGGGTTGAAAAATTTGTCGCCCGCCGACCATGCATGGGTACTGAGGGAACCAGAAAATTTAATTAAATTTGTGCAGGAAAATTCAGGGGGAGAGGACATTGTATAGGGTGAGTTTTTTCTCACCTGGTTCCATTGGATAATCCATCGGCGGGCATGAGCAGTAGGACAAGAAAGCAGAGATCTTGATCAGATGGTGTCCGTGATGAGTTGTCCTTCCAGCCTCCCAGTACCTCCTCCATCGGAACCCCCCGCTCCACATTGGGCACATGGTTGTCTAAGGTTTAGGCCCTGTTAGTGGTGTCAGCTAGTTTGTTGTTCAGTACAAAATTTGCTACTTCAGTAGCGTCATTTTTCCCCAACTAATACTCCCTTGGCTATATAGGAAATCGTTGTCTTTTTTCTTGGCAGTTGGTCTTTCTACTGGTCAGTGTATACTGTCGGTTAGTTAGGGTCTTTGCTGGCGGGTGGTTGTTTCCCGCTCTTTTATTTGCACGCATGCGTGCTGAGTTTACAGTTAGACTTAGAGTAGTATAGGGCTTGAAAGTGCTACGTCACAGCATAGCAACAATTTCAAAAATTCAAAAATTGGATCCACTTGGATCCAGTTTTTGTATGGATCCAAGCACATTTCAAGCCGTCTTACTCTCAGCAAGGTGATGTTACCAGTGAAACTGACTGATTTGGCTACTGGGGGCGGGGTTACAACTGGTGGCGAAGTAAAAGTCACCCCTGCATACGACATGAGTGGGTTGCTATGCACCCACATACTGAGGCAATAGCAAAGTCACACCTTAGTGGATCCAAAATAGAAATCTGATGTCAACTTAGTACTCCCTGGCCGTTTTTGACGTCATCACTTTCAAGCCCTATTGGTCCTGTGGCTGTATGCCCTACTGTCGTCATGACGGTGCGCGGTGTGAGCGCGCACTGTCTGGATAGTATGCTACCTGTACTAGCTGTAGTTCATGGTAGTTCGTGCGCGGTGTGAGCGTCTGCACGTCACGTGCGCGCCGTGTCACTTGACAGTCAGTGTACGTCATGTCACTACGTGCCGTCACTTGACTACTTCTTAGTACTGTAGTGATTTTTAGGTCGCGTGCTCTGGCGTCTTATTTTGTACTCAGTTCAGTCGCGTTCTACTATTCGTAGTCATGGTAGTAGTACTAGTAGCAAGAGTCCATAACCCAAGACTCGAGAGTATGCAACTGTGATCTCTTTTCTATGGGTAGGGGTTTCCACAAAAATTTCTGAATATTTTCTGAATTTTGGCGATTTTTTGATTTTTTTATGAATTTTGAGTCCCTTTTGTTGAATTTTGCCATACATTACCCACTTGCATGTTGGTTTTGGGTTTCCAGTAAGCTGTTGGATGCCATCGTCCCATCGACCTGTGTGGAGAAACCTTGGATCAAAAAAATAATCATAATAATTATTCATCATTCAATTTTTACCAGTTAGAGTGCGGATGCAGTTTTAGGAGCTCCGCTCCTATCAGCCTTTCCGAGTCTGTAACTGTAACCTACAGGAGCTGTGACTTGTACTGCGGACTATGGCCACCAATGAGCATGACGACCTGGCCCTTCTGACGTTCGACTGTCTACAAAACCTGGCCACCCGGACTGGCATCCCGAAAGCGGACTCCTTCTCACGGCCCGACCTGGTGGGAGCGCTCCGGAAGGAGGGGATTGGGTCCCACCCCATCCTGGAAGGTATGACCGGTATAGGACATGTCACGACTGCTTTGGCCGCATTGTCCTCGACAATAATGGACCTGAATAAAGAAATAGTGGCAATTAGGGTGGGAAGAGATGATGAAATTGCTTCCTTGAAGCTTGAAATTCAACAGCTGAGGCGGGAAATGGCTGACCTGCGAGATACTAGCGTACACACACAGCACGCCATGCCACACCAGTACAGCGACGTAGTACTAGGAACCGCCACACAAACTGCAAGTGCACGTGCGAGGCTCAGCACCACAACGGGCAGGTCTGTACAAACGTACGGTACACACGCCGGCAGTGGCAGCCTGCCAGGAGAAACGCGTGTGCAACAACCCAACACTACTACAAGTCGTAGTTCCAGCCCCGCAGCAGGCGTGCATGCATCCCGTAGGTCCAGCACTACTACAAGTCGTAGCTCCAGCCCCGCAGCAGGCCTGGATGCATCCCGTAGGTCCACCGATACTGAACAACAAGTACATGAATGGCAGGAACACCAGGACAGACGCACTCGAGCCGCCCAGAGACAAAGGCACGCGGCAGATACTAGTAGTC